CGTCTTGAGAAGCGGATGCTTGAAGACAAGCCGAGAAGTGGATGGCAACACCTGAACCACTCCAGAGTCTAGATGTCAGGCGCACACAGCGGTTCTGTGGATCCTGCTGCGGCAAGGTGACATTTTCGAGTAGAGTTGTGTTCTGTTCCTTTCATTGTAAGTAGTCAAGTCCAATGCGTTGGTGCTTCATGAATCGGACTTTTGGCTTTCTAATCGCTGGTGGTCCTGCCACAGTGCTGTGCGTGTTCTGGGGTCCCAAATTTGTGGTCCCCCGATGTAGCACGCATGTTGGACTCACAGGGTTAGGTAAGAAGGTCGGGCTGCCTGGTCCCTTTCACTGTTTGGGGTCTATGCTCGCGGCCATCCTATTTGCACATTCACATGTGTTTACTTCTGTGTTGTCGGTCTGTCTGTTTGTCTGCCCGTATGTGTTTATGCCTCTGAGTATATATATATATAGTCTATATCTGTACATGTATATATATATATATATATACCCTGAGCATCCCATATTGATTACAATCAATCAATTTCGCAAACAGATATTGATTTTTTGCGCAGCGTCAAAAATCAATATACCGAAAACACGGCATATTGATTAGCATATTGATTATCATATTGATTAGCATATTGATTAGCATATTGATTAGCATATTGATTAGCATACTGATTAACATATTGCTATATATGTTGTTTTACAAACTAATTTATATCGCTAATATGCATAAAATACATATGATCGAGCATATATGAAAATATGTATATGTGTGTGTAAGGCCTTGGGTATAGAAGACTGTAATGTAGAGGTGTGGGGTATAAAGGTGTCGGGGTAAGGGGCTTTGAGGGGGTTAGAGGCAGAAGGATTTAGGGCTATAGTGGAGGTTCACAAACATCGGGGTTTAGGGCTCAGGGGGTTTAGGGGTAAGGGGCTAATGGGTATGGGATCGTAGGACTTTCGTGGGCAGATGGCTTTAGAAAGTCTAGCAGAAAGCGAGGTAGAATGAGAGAAAGAGAGAACAAACGAAACGGAAGGATAGGGAACGAAGAGAGAAGAGAGAAGCGACTAAAGAAAGAGATACAGACAGAGAGGCAGAGAGAGATAGATAGAGAGACAGATCAAGAACACCATAGAGAAGGCAAGGATAAAGTGGCAGGAAAGAGAAACCTAGGACAAACCAAAGAAATAGAAAAAGAGAGAGAGCGAGAGAAGGAGCGAAACAGAGACATAAGGGAGAGAACGAGAGAAGGACACAAGGAGAGAAACAACAAGAGAGATAACGAGAGAGAGAGAGAGAGAGAGAGAGAGAAAGGAACCAAGGGAGAAGAGAGAGAGCCAAAGAAGGAGAACAGGAGAGAGAGAGAGAGAGACTGAGAGAAAGAGAGAACGAGAGAAAGACAGAGCGAGAGAAGGAGAGAGGGAGGGAGAGAGCGAGAGAGAAAGAGAGAGAGAGAGAGAGAGAAAGGGAGAAACAGAGGAAGCAAGAAAGGGAGGAAGAACGATAGAGTTTAGAGGGTTTAGGGTTTGGGGGTCTCGGGTCTCGGGTTTTTGTTAGTTCCTCTAGGTTTTGGAAGCTAGGGGCTTTGAGGGAGGGCTGTGACATTAGGGGTTGTGGCGTTTTTTTTGTTTCGGAAGGGTGGGGGGGTTCTACGTTTCCAACATCATTCTCCCCAACCCCAAACCCCGAAGCTTTTCCAGCCAACCCCCCTAACACCCCCAAGCCCCTAAAGCCTGCCACACACCAAAATCCTCACCCCGACCCAAAACCCTTAACCCTTCACCCCCATCGGGTTTGAAGGTGGTGGCGATGGTGGTGGTGTTGGTGGTGGTGGTGGTGGCGGCGGTGGTGGGTGGTGGGTGGTGGGTGGTGGGTGGTGGGTGGTGGGTGGTGGGTGGTGGGTGGTGGGTGGTGGGGGGTGGGTGGTGGGTGGTGGGTGGTGGGTGGTGGGTGGTGGGTGGTGGGTGGTGGGTGGTGGGTGGTGGGTGGTGGGTGGTGGGTGGTGGGTGGTGGTGGTGGGTGGGTGCTGTTGGTGCTGCTGGTGCTGGTGGTGGGTTTGTTGGTGGTCGTGGTGGTGGTGGTGGTGGTGGTGGTGGTGGTGGTGGTGGTGGTGGTGGTGGTGGTGGTGGTGGTTGGTGGTGGGTTTGGTGGTGGCGGCGGCGCTTTTTCTAGTTGCGGTGGTGGTGGTGGTGGTGGTGGTGGTGGTGGTGGTGGTGGTGGTGGTGGTGGTGGTGGTGGTGGTGGTGGTGGTGGTGCTGGTGGTGGTGGTGGTGCTGGTGGTGGTGCTGGTGGTGCTGGTGGTGCTGGTGGTGCTGGTGGGTGGTGGTGGTGGTGGTGGTGGTGGTGGTGGTGGTGGTAGTGGTCGTGGTGGTAGTGGTCGTGGCGGTGGTAACCCTTCAACACCATTGGGTTTAAAAGCTTTTGGTGGTGGTGCTGGTGGTGGTGGTGGATTGAGGGGTGGAGGTTGGATGGAGTTGGTTTGGAATGTGCTGGGTGGGGGAGGGGGGTTAAAGGTTGATGGAGCGGTGGGTGAACACGGTGAGCTCTGGGTTTGGGCTGGGCACTTCAAGGTGTTTGGGTCTGGGTGCCTTCCTGGGCCCCCTGGCCTCCCCCGGGCCCCCCTCCTATCTCCTGGCCCTTCTCCGGTCCTTGCAAGGTTGAACCAGGTATCGAAACAAATTTGAACCAGTTTGGAATTATTTTTTCCAAATTGGTTCAAAAAAATCAAATCTGATGAAATCTGATGAAATCTGATGAAATCTGATGAAAAACCAGATTTCATCAGATTTCATCAGATTTCATCAGATTTGATTTTTTTGAAACCAATTTGGAAAAAATAATTCAAAACTGGTTCAAATTTGTTTCGATACCTGGTCCAAAGAATAAAAACCGCACCCACCAAACCCAAACACCTTGAAGTGCCCAGCCCAAACCCAGAGCTCACCGTGTTCACCCACCGCTCCATCAACCCTTAACCCCCCTCCCCCACGCAGCACATTCCAAACCAACTCCATCCAACCTCCACCCCTCAATCCACCACCACCACCACCACCAGCACCACCACCAAAAGCTTTTAAACCCGATGGGGTTGAAGGGTTACCACCGCCACGACCACTACCACCACGACCAGCACCAGCACCACCACCAGAAAAAGCGCCGCCGCCACCACCAAACCCACCAAAACCACCGCCACCGCCACCACCAGCACCACCACGACCACCACCAACAACCCACCACCAGCACCAGCAGCATCACCACCACCACCACCAGCACCACCACCCGCCACCCACCACCCACCACCCACCACCCACCACCCACCACCCACCACCCACCACCCTCCACCCGCCACCCGCCACCCACCACCACCCACCACCCACCACCCCCCACCCCCCACCACCCACCACCCACCACCCACCACCCACCACCCCCCACCCACCACCCACCACCCACCACCCACCACCCACCACCCACCACCCACCACCCACCACCCACCACCCACCACCCACCACCCACCACCCACCACCCACCACCCACCACCCACCACCCACCACCCACCACCACCACCGCCGCCGCCGCCACCACCACCACCACCAACACCACCACCATCGCCACCACCTTCAAACCCGATGGGGGTGAAGGATTAAGGGTTTTGGGTCGGGGTGAGGATTTTGGTGGGTGGCAGGCTTTAGGGGCTTGGGGGTGTTAGGGGGGTTGGCTGGAAAAGCTTCGGGGTTTGGGGTTCGGGAGAATGATTTTGGAAACGTAGAACCCCCCCACCCCCCGAAACAAAAAAAAACGCCACAACCCCTAATGTCACAGCCCTCCCTCAAAGCCCCTAGCTTCCAAAACCTAGAGGAACTAACAAAAACCCGAGACCCGAGACCCCCAAACCCTAAACCCTCTAAACTCTATCGTTCTTCCTCCGTTTCTTGCTTCCTCTCTTTCTCCCTTTCTCTCTCTCTCTCTCTCTCTCTCTCTCTCTCTCTCTCTCTCTCTCTCTCTCTCTCTCTCTCTCTCTCTCTCTCTCTCTCTCTGTTTCTTTCTCTCTCGCTTTCTCCCTCCCTCTCTCTTTCTCTCGCTCTCTCGCTCTCTCTCTCTCTCGTCATCTCTCGTCATCTCTCTCTCTCTCTCTCTCTCTCTCGTGTTCTTTCTCTCCGTGTGTCCTTCTCTCATTCTCTCTCTTATGTCTCTGTGTCGCTCCTTCTTTCGCTCTCTCTTTTCCTATTTCTTTGGTTTGTCCTGGTTTCTCTCTCCTGCCACTTTATCCTTGCCTTCTCTATGTTGTTATTGATCTGTCTCTCTATTTATCTATCTATCTCTCTCTCTCTCTCTCTCTCTGCCTCTCTGTCTGCATCTCTTTCTTTAGTCGCTTCTCTCTTCTCTCTTCGTTCCCTATCCTTCCGTTTCGTTTGTTCTCTCTTTCTCTCATTCTACCTCGCTTTCTGCTAGACTTTCTAAAGCCATCTGCCCACGAAAGTCCTACGACCCCATACCCTTTAGCCCCTTACCCCTAAACCCCCAGAGCCCTAAACCCCGATGTTTGTGAACCTCCCCTATAGCCCTAAATCCTTCTGCCTCTAACCCCCTCAAAACCCCTTACCCCGACACCTTTATACCCCACATCTCTACATTACAGTCTTCTATACCCAAAGCCTTACACACACACATACATATTTTTCATATATATATATATACTCATATGTATTTTTTTATGCATATTAGCAATATAAAATGGTATGTATACATATGTGTACATATTGATTAGCATATTGATTTACATATTGATTTGCATATTGATTCGCATATTGATTGTTTTATTGATTTTTACATATTGATTATCGATGTCAAGAAATCAATATATTATATTGATTCTGCGAACCATCAAAATCAAGATATTGATTGTAATCAATATGGGATGCTCAGGGTATGTACGTATGTCTTTTGTTGCAGCGAAGAACGTCGAAGCCCGGCCAAGGCACTCTGGCACTGGTGGCCACTGTGTCGATGCTCCCGGCTGCCTTCATGGCTCCGTCCTCGCCGGCGCCTGCCCTCCGCGGTACAGCCACCGAAGGAGCTGTTGAGGGCGTATCAGCACCCAAGCAAGAAGAACTTGGGTGTTTGGCGTAACCATGCACCATGTTGTCAATGGCTTACCTGCCCATTGCGCAAGGAGGACAGAAACCCGAACTCTGTCATGCCACCAGGGCTAGCATATAGCTTTAGCCGCCTTGCTTTGACACACCGTGCTCGGCAAACCTGCGATTGGTGATGCCTTCGCATGTGCATGAGCGACATCATATATGTAAACAGGCAGGAGGTAGGAAGGCGGCACTTCGCCTGCCAACCCAACACCATGCAATCCCGTTCTTTCCTGAACAGGATCCTTGGCCGGCATTGAGGTCGAGACGCGAGTTCCCATGGTCCTTGTCGAGGCAAGTCTCCGGTGCAACCTTGGGCCACGAAGCGATCTTTGAGAGAGCACAGGCCTTGCCAGAGCCGCGCCCCAACGATGCCATGCTCCCTGCACCTTGGAAGATGATGGCTCCACGGGTCCGCAGGAGGGATTGGCACAACGTCACTTGCATACCTCCTTCCACAGTGCCACAGCATTTCCGCAACGCATCTTTTGAATACTGCCGGTGGGCAATCGCATCCCATCTGAATCCTGCCAGTACCTGGGACGAACGAGTGTGATCATGTCTCTGAATCCTGCCGCGATCCTGCATGCCGCCAAAACACAGCACATCGGGAAAGACTTGTGGTCTGGGGTTTTTGTAGCAGATTTCGCGAGAAAAAAAGTCCGGAACGATGCGGGCGTAGAAGGGTTTATGGAAGGGATGTGAGGATGGATGGATGGATGGATGCATGAAAGGACGGATGAATGGATGGATGAAATGATGATGTTCGGTGCTACCTCGCTGTCTCTAGTCTGCTTCAATGTCCGTACATTCTAAGCTTGTCATCGAGTCAGATTATGCACTGCAACATAGCATCACACACCATAGCGCAACATAATGTAATGGAGCGTGACCACATAATGCTTTACTGAGGTCAGCCTGCGATATGTTACATTATCTTAGGATAGGTTGTCGTTTGGTGTGATGCAGTGTAAGATGGTCTTGTAACGCGGTTCGTCAATTTTGAGACATGTTGTGATTTCATGCTATGCTGGTTATCATTTTCTTTGAGTAACCTGAGTATACTAACAGGATTAAGCACAGAAAAGTGCAGAGAAAGGATCTGACGGATCCTAGCGGTTAACACGGTCGCATGCTGACCGTTTGCAGACATTTTCCATCAGCTGCACGCACACTCAAAGCTTCCCCATCTCCGTCGGAGAGCTTCCGATAGAGGGACGCACTTTCCAGACGCAGGGGCAGACAGATAGAGACGTCTGTTCGCGATAGAAGTTCGGGCGCTTTCAGGTTAAGCCATGTAAAGTGGTGCCCCGTTGTGGTTGCCGGGGTTTTCTCCGAGAAGATCGAGCATTCAATGACGAGAAGCACAGGAATGCTGTATGCACGGTCGGGGCACGATTTCAGACTTGAATTTGTTGGCACCAGTCTTGCTGACTCTTCTTCCGCTGGCCCCATGAGTGCTCAGGTGGAACTGAACCGCACCTCCTTGTACTGGGGGCTCCTCTTGATCTGCATCCTGTCCGTGCTCTTTTCCAGCTACTTCTTCAACTGAGGCCTGGATCGTAGACGGGTGCTGGCATAGCCAACGCCCACGCAGTAGCACACCCAAAACCGCAAAGGTAAGCCATCCTTGCAGTCTCGTAAGGGTCGTTTTCCTAGGACGAAATTAGAGCGATTATCAAGAGAAAAACATTGCCTGGCCGAAGTTCTTGGAACTGTGTCGGTCTGCCTTCGCAGCCACTGAAGTCACTACAACTTACCATGCCTGAGGCCCTTAGAGCCTTGCCACTGGGTCCCAGCAGTGCCCAACCTTTGCTTTGCCGGCTCGCAGGTGGCTCACAGCAGCTACGTGAAGTTACGGCTCTGCAGTTGGCACCTTGGGTGCTTGGACTTTTTGGCAGGCGAAAAAAGGTCCCTTGCCTTAGCGCCGAGCAATGCGCAGTGCCGGACCGCTTTGTGTGGCAGGCCGTCCAACTGCGGCTCCTGAAGCAGCAAGTCGAAGCAGAGGCAGCTGGTTCGAGGGCACACAAGTCGGATTCATGCATTCGATGAGCTCAGGGGACTGCCACACCTTTCCCTTGTGGTGTGACCCCAGCCTAGGCCCAGCCGTCGTCCTGCGACTCGACCCAGCCTCCCTGGTGCACCACAACCCGAATCCACGGCACACTAAGCAAACTACTCAAATTCCCAGGCGCAGCGTGTTGCAAAGCTTCGCTCCGATCTGGCAGCAAGGCTCCTGAGCCTTTGCCTCCAACTCTCAAGTCTGAGATGCTGGAGCCGGGACACGGAAGACAGTTCTCGAAGCATCGTTCCTGTGGCTTCCCGCATTGCTGCTTCGGCTCTTGTGCGGCATGTGGCCACATACGGACTTGCAGTATAGTAAACTGGCAACCAGCAGCGTGGAAAGCATCGAGCCAGAAATTTTGGCCCTCCAACTACCAACTCTTTCGCGGCCCTAAAAAGACAGAATTTCCAGCCAGCACCTCCCCCGAATTCGGTGATCGAAAGCCAGGCACCTAGCGGTCGCACACCTACTTTGCCTAGATATCCGGAACACTTGCTCAGTGGCCTTCCGTAGAGCGGAGACACATTGGCAAGCCCTCCATGCCTGGAGGCAACCTCGGGAGCTCGAACCTTCTGTCTTCTGTGGGATGTAGTCGCTCACACACATACAGAGATAGTTAGCCACGTAGGTGGATGCATAGATAGGTCCAGGTAGATGGGTGAGCGGGTGGGATTAGCTAGCTACCTAACTCGCGGGCTAGCTAGCTATGTCGATCAGTCGTTTCGTGTTATGTGAATGTGTGCGTGTGTGTGTGTATATATATATATATATATATATATATATATATATATATAAACCAGGTCTTTTGTCAGACAGTGTTCAGGCTTTCCTGTTTTTCTGGTACGGCAGTTCTGTGAGAAACGGGTTTCAAGAGAGTTAACTTGACTCGACTTGATGTGATGCTAAGAAAACCTCAGGACCTTGAGACTCCTTTGGCTCTCTGTTCCGTGTGGATACAGCCAGCAATGCTCCCGAGTTCTCGCCTAGTGCTGCCGAGTTGCGAGTGGCCCAAGAAGTCATTGAAAAAAATGGTTTAGATGTATATACATGTACATGTACATATACACCTAATTGTTTGTATGTATGTATATATATATGTGTGTATATATATATGTGTTTACATATGTAGTGAGTTGCAAGCTTCGTTGGCGTTTCGGTGCAGCCTGGCAAACCGCAGCATCGTGAGGTTGTGCGTGCTTCATGGCATGTGCTAATGCTGTCTTGGGGCATCGTACCTCTCGGTACACCGTAGGTTGGCGCTTTTTGCTGGGTGTACTGGAAAGCTCGGATGGCGTGGAAGTTTCAGAGCTCCTATCCCCCCGAGCCTACATTCTTCGTTTTTCGAGGTGCGGCCTGAATGGGCTCAAAGGCTTACAAACCAAACGCATCCAAACGCTTCACAGCAAAGCCATGATCTCCTTACTCGAACAGGCCAGGACGGGCTTTGGGACGCTCAACGCCTTTGTCAAGGTCCAAGCTTTGGCCAGGGCCTCGGCATCATCGGGAGGCCGCCACCGCTTCACGATGGACTGCGGACTTTCAGTTTTCAAGATGACTTCGGAAAGGTGAGCAACTCCGCGATGTGCAAAAGCTCTTCTACGAGTCGGAGATTGAATCTGGCGTGTGCAACGTCCCACTGGCCAAAGGCCTGCAGGGTTCAAGCAAACAAAGAGATAGACAAACAGACATAGAGACAGAGAGGGGCGCACGGTCCACAGCGCATGTGGAGTGGGGGCAAGCCAATCAACACTCTGAGTGACAAGCCGAGGGCGATGGATGTAGGAATTTTGAGACTCTCATGCTCATCGCCCCTTCTGCGGATTTGCGTGCGCAAGCCAAGGTGTAGGAAGAACGCAAGGTGTCCTGTGCCAAGTCTGTGAAGTAGCAAGACGTGACCATTTAGGGTTGTTGCGCTTGGAGCTTCAGGCGTGCTGAAAGCATGGGGGCGGCCTGCACGCAAGGCAGACCCAGAGACTCGGCAGAAGGCGTACATGTTTAGCTACCTGGCATGGGGCGAATATGCATGTGAACAAGTAATGATGCAATTGGCTAGGAAGGTGGATAGGCGATGGACTGCATTGTCTCTTGGCCTTTGTCAAATGTCCTACGAAACGACATTGCGAGAGAGAGAGAGAGAGCGAGAGACTCGATGCGTATGTGTGTGTGTGTGCGCGTGTGTACATCCATCTGTATATTCATATAAACGAATGCATGCATGTGTGCAAGGTCAAGTTGGCTTGGTCGCTGTTTTGTTTTCTTAAATATTCACTTAGTATGTAGTTGTACGCACAGAACACACGAAGCGGTGCCAAGAAAGGTAAGCACTAGCACCATAGCAGCAATGCCGGTAATGGCCACAAGCGGGATGCAATATTGATGACAATCGCCAGCATTATCGCCGCAGTACAGACTAGCATTAGCACAGAAGTAGCAGTCGTTGTGGTTGTCATTGGTGCTTGTCTGGCGGTGGCGGTCGCGGAAGTGGTGGATGTCGTTCCAGTCGTGTCGTCTTTGTCACAGCTGCAGTCGTAGTTGTTGTCCTGGCAACTGCATTGGTAGACAGGCGGTGGCTGCGTGCACGTACATGTAGTCAAGCACCGTAGCATGTTAAGCCTTACGTAAGACCTAGCCACGAGCCGAGCGGCCACAACAGTTAGTCAATCAAGGGGACAGCGGTGGAGTCACTACCCGGAGCCGTCGAAGCCGGCTCATTGACTGCATCGCCACCAGTCTCTTGGCACCGAAGGATTTAGGGAGATTTAAGACGTGGACTCGTGCAGACTCGGAGTTTAAGATTGCGGGCGTGGGTTGCGCTTAGCACTGCTCTTTGTCTCTACGATGGGACTAGTCGCACCGAGTGCTGCGCTTGAAGTGAAGAAGAAGAAGGGCGTGGGTTGTAAGTGTAGGTCCTGGGCTCGGAAGAAGGAAAAGACACAGTACTGAGGGACTTCGCGCCGCAGAAGTTGGTGTGCTTTCTGTTGCAGATGACAGTCAAAGCTGGCTCCGCATCTCTTTCACAACGCAGCCCTTAGGCTTCCGATGCGCCTCCCACCTCCGGGAGGCCTCCAGAACACAAGCAGCTGAGAAAACGCAGATTTCGGCAAACTCAGAGGGAGATGGTGCGAATGTTAGCGAGAGTGCTATGGTTACGAACTTCCGCGGCTAGGAGGAAGAGGTGAGTTGTGCGCTGTCACCTTGGCCGAGTAAAAGGGTCTGTTTGTCGAAAACAGAATCCCAGAAGGCAGTCCTCAAAATGTGAGATGCGCGTACCGTCCCGCACCAGATTTCGCAGGAGGGCCAGCTCTGGAAGCAGGTTAAGCCAGCGCCAGCAGCCTAGCTTCCTTGTGTTTGCATCTGATGTGCTGGTTCCATCGTTTCTCAGCACCCGTTCGGGGCGACTTCTGCATTGAATAGCTATAATTCCAGTCGATCTGTGTGACAACGCGAATGTTCGAAGTGTTTTCTCAGGCAGCGTTTGTAATCATCCACATGCTATGCCGGGACTGCAGGTGATGTAAGTTTGAGACCCATCAGGAACACAATGAAACTTCAGTTGACCAGGCCTCGCATCTTTGCAGATTGAAACCGCCATCGACACTCCCAAGGAGCAACGGCGGTGTCCTGCCTGCGTTGGGCTTGCAGGATGACTCCAATCAAGTTAAGTGAGGACAGAAACGCAGGGTTTCGTGATGAGTGAGAGCAGTTTCCGAAGCAAGGTACGGCCCTGAGCGCTTCTTCTACGACCAGAAAACTTACACGGGCGTTCACAAGAACGGATCGCCGACCACTGTGGAGAAGGACATCCTTCTTTGTAATCGCCTCTGTCCACAGGGTTGCACTCCAACTGGCTACAGTGACCCTTCGCCCATCAAAATTCACAGAAGGTCTACCTGCTGTTGCAAGAGAGAGCAAGCAAGAGAGAGTTGTTGTTGTTGTTGCTTGTTGTTGCGAAGGAAGTCTTGCAAGTGTGAATGCCCAATGAACGATACGACAGTTTGGTTTCGTCTCCGAGTCTGAGTTCGCTGTACTTCACCCAGCAACCATGGAACCTAATGCCGTTTCCGAAGAGGGTGCAAACGAGGCCGGAATCTGAAGAGGAGGCAGGTGTTCTTGACGGCAAATTGCCGACCTGAGGCAGCAACACCCACGATCACCCATGCGAGGAATCAGGCGTTTGCATGTCCGTTAGCGCAACCTGAGCAGCTACAGGCCTAGGGCCTAGGCCACGCTTTGGCTTCGAGCTTCTGGGGTCTGTCGGGTGCAGAGCCCGAGAATCGGCCTGACCCTGCCATTCTCAGAGAAGTCGACGAGTCAGATTGAGGGCAGAGAAGAGCCTTCAGGGTGCGCAGCATACAAGGATCACGGTCCGAAGCAGTCTACCCAGTACCGAATCTGCCCTCTCAAGTTTGACGTGCAGTCAGTAGCACCCAGCACTGCCTCTAAATGCATGAGTGGCTCCGAGTGCGAGGAGGTGGTTACGCAGATCTTGCGGGATCCCTCCCCGCGGAGTGCTCGAAGCGACTCGTATCTTCCATTCTGTCAATGCCAACAGTGACAGTCCGACGGTCACAAACACGTCTTTCTGACTTTCACGAGTTTGCTCTACAATCAGGCAGACAGTGGCCCATGTAGGCTTGGACGGCAGTCATGGACGCTTAGAAACGCTCCCGCTACCACTACATCTAACGCTGCAAGGACAACTTAGTTAGCACATCTTACATCTTAGCACTGCCACTACGACTACAACGTCGAAAACTTCGACCGCGGCATGAAACGACTTCTGGCTACTACGACGACTACTGCTATGCCGGCACTGCTGCCGCTGGTGTCGCTACTTCATGTTGTTTATGTTTTCTCCCAGTGAAACGCTTCGGTACTCTAACCGTGTCCTGTCGTTGTGTCTGCTTTTATTGCTGACTTTCGGCGACGAGGTCGCTCGGCCTCAGTGGCTTCTGTATCCCCTCGGGCCCGGGCAGCCTCCACATCGATGACACCTCGGGCCAGCGGCGTTTACAACAGACCCTCGGCCCTCGGAACGGGTGGTTCCCGCATTTCTTCCGGACACACACGGGCTTAGTCGTCGGTTTTCTACCGCCAAGATTCCGGCCAGGGTTTGTATGGGGTCGCTGTGCAAAAGACAGCATGCGGGCGGTGTTTGTTTTGCGAACCTCAAACCCACAAGTTCCAAACTCGATTCGAGAACATCATGGGGTTCACCCTGGCCTCAGTCCAAGTGATAGTCAAAGAAATCAAGACCAAGCGCTTCGCGAAGCGCTGTCCAAGGCTTCAAGCTAGTCTCGCCGGTGGGCGACTCACCTCGAAGAAGTGCTGGGCCCAGCTGTGTCCTCGAATTCAGGCACAGGACGAAGGCATGATTCATGTCAAACTTTGTTGCGCTTGAAGCTCGGACTGCGTCACCAGACACTGCCCGAGGAACCATCGCGGGGGAACTTGCGGAGGACAGCACCCGCCCCTCGTCGGCATAGAGGTTGGCTGCACACCATCGACATGCAAGCATGGCAGCAGCATAGCACAGAGTGTGCGCGTGCGGCGCTCTCTGTGTGTGTATAATCAACTATGATTAATTTTTCGTCCTACCGTTGGCAGCTTGAGCTCTAGCAGCCAGCATTGACAGGCTATGGACCCGAACGCTTCTTCTATGACCAGAGCACCTACACAGGTTGGGACCAGCTGTGAGCCGGGTTTAGAAAATTAGCTGGAGCCTTGCGACGAAGTGGTAGATGACTCCAGTGCCAAGTCCTTACTTGCGAAAACACGGGGCCAGCGAGAGGCACTCATCGCCAAGGAGGCCCCCAGGTCGCACAGCCTCCAGAGCCAGTGCGGAAGGCGTCCACCATGACGATGCCACTCGGGCTGTGCACTTCGTGCCTTCATGTTGCATCGGTAGGTTTTCGCAGTTGTTCTGATAAGGGAACGGGAGAGTGAGCAGGGTGCAGTGCTTGGGGCCCTGAAAAAGCAGGGGATCAGTGACAGACTCGAAGAATACGGGCTCCGTCCTGCTTAGGAGGGAACACTTCTGAAGCAAAGTGCGAAGCTTGGGCGTAGAAGTTGCAAAACAGCGCATCTCAATCCAATTGCCTAGCTGAGCCACAAACTCACAAGTCGTGATCCCTGCCAAGGACTCCACGCTCCGCGCGCAGCCAGCGCGGCTCCACGGTCTCCTTGGCATCAGAGCCCTGGCACTTACATACACGTCATGGGTGCTTTCGACATCTTTCGACAAGATTTGCAACTTCATCACCTCCTGGCGCCTACACTTGTTGCAGAAATTTCAGCCGAGAAGGCGTTAGTCGATCTGTTTCTCAGGAAGCTGGTTCCATGCGGCTGCGCTCACCCACGGGTCCTTCAGGCCATGGGCAATGACCTGCTCAGAGTGCTGCTGGATGGGTTGCTAGGAGCGAGGATATTCGGGTTTAGTCAGGCAAGCCTCTATAGTGGCTCAACCGAAGGGTGATGCCGGATCGAGGCTTGTCACAAGACATCTCGGGACTTTAACTGAAGCACCGCACAAGCCTTGCAAGGCATCGCCAGGCGTTTGGACTTCAGCTCAGGCCTTGCTTTCGGTCACGCGCTTTCCATGGCTATGCACGGGCTTTTCTGTCTGACAAAACGGCATGTTGCGGAGTCTTCGCCCCCTATGGGAACCCTAGTGGAACCCTTGTCGTAACCTTTATAGAACCCTTATAGTAACCCTTAGATACTCAGGCGGCCAGGATGAGACGAAGGCGGAACCGAACTCCCTCGGTTGCGAAAAGTCGGGGGTCTTTCCGTTTCCCTGGAGCCCTTTCTGGGTGGGTGGGTGTCTAGGGTTTGGGTCGCTCTCGAAGATTCCAGCTGAGGCCCATCGTGCCGCAGTGTGTATTATGATATGTGCATCAAGGGAAAGAGTCGTGCACCAAAGACTCACTCTAGTCGCTGGTTTCTTGGGCTTGCTTGCTTCTTTTTATGTAGCATACTTGACCGGGAAAGTGTACAGAGTCTCATCTTAAATGGTTGTGTTCAAGCCTGGAGCCGGACAAAAGAGCGAGGAAATGCGAGGCCCTCAAGCCTGGCGATAGGAAGATATAGAAAGATTGAGAGGGAAGAACGGGAGATTTGCCAGAAGGAGGGAAGGACCTGATAGAGACAGAGACGGCCGTCTTCTCAAAGCCTCGCGGAGTGCATAGAACCAGCATGCCCACGAAAAGGCACAGACACAACGGAATATTGGAATGGTGTCTAGCTCCACGTTGCCAGGAGCCTCAGTCTACGCGATCCATGCGTAGCCTGCAGTCGATGCAGTCTCAGGGTTCCCTCGCGGGCCCGGCCCAGCACCCAGTGAGGGATGCAGTCGCTCGAGCAAGTATCGGAGTGGAGCACCCAGGCCTCACCGCGAAATCGAGCTTTCACCGAGACGCCACGCAGCGCCTGTGCCGACATTCAGAGGGTGTAAGGCGGGCTTGTTGTGCAGGGCTAGTGTGGCTCCCGGGTTGCGTATCTTCAGCATGGTTCATATGCTGGCCTTGTCGAGTCGGGTAGGTGGTGGTACTGTTGCTGCTGCTGCTGCTGCTGCTAGGCTACTACTACTACTACTACTACTACTGCTACTACTACTACTATACTACTACTACTACTACTACTGCTACTACTACTACTACTACTACTACTACTACTACTACTACTACTACTACTACTACTACTACTACTACTACTACTACTACTACTACTACTACTACTACTACTACTACTATACTACTACTACTACTACTACTACTACTACTACTACTACTACTACTACTACTACTACTACTACTACTACTACTACTACTACTACTACTACTACTACTACTACTACTACTACTACTACTACTACTACTACTACTACTACTACTACTACTACTACTACTACTACTACTACTCTACTACTAGCCACCACCAAATGTGCCATTTCCCAGCCGTTGAGGCGCACGGTCGGCTTCTGTGACGTTCAAAGACCAAGACTCTTTTCGCTATGGTCCTGAGCGCTTCTTCTACGACTCAAGGCTACCGGGCTTCGGGATTCAGTCCACTTACTCCACATCGTTTCGATGGTTTGGGACTTGGGATGCTCTGACTCGGATGCAGCTTTGGGCTCGATTTGTGCTGCCTATGTCCGTTCTCGCTCTGGGCAAAAAAATGTCCGTTCTCGCTCTGGCAGGACCTACACCGGAGTCCACAAGCACGGGGGCCCTATCACGGATGACCTTCGGGAACCGAACGGCCAGGCGCAGAGACGTAGGGCATGTGCGTGAGGTTGATGTTGCGGGTGCCACAGGATTTCTCCAGACCCAGGAGAAGCGAGGGGCACCGTGATGTTTGGCTGCAAGCCAAGAAGCATGCTACAATTCAACACAACTCGTGTAAGTTTCAGCACCTTACCCACACCCGACTCGAAGCCCGACTCGAAGCGGAAGCGGACCCTCAAGATGTGATGCTTATCGTTGCTTCCCAGTGTCGGGAAGCTATCCCGAACATGCATGTCGCATGCACCTACCCCGCCCACATACGTACTACTTACTACTGCTACATGCACAGATGGTGTGTGTCATGTAGTTCTCCCTCCCTCTCCCTCTCCTCCCTCTCGCTCTCTGTCTCTCTCGGTCCCCCTCTCTCCCTGGCGCTGGCGCTCGTGCTCTCTCTCTCTCTCTCTCTCTCTCTCTCTCTCTCTCTCTCTCTCTCTCTCTCCTCTCTCTCTCTCTCTCTCTCTCTCTCTCTCTCTCTCTCTCTCTCTCTCTCTCTCTCTCTCTCTCTCTCTCTCTCTCTCTCTCTCTCTCTCTAGTATGTATTCACGCGAAGAAAGGACTGTTGTGAGGACCTGCATGTGATTGTGTGTGTGTGTGTGTGCCTGTGCGGGTGTGTGTGTGTGTGTGTGTGTGTGTATATATATATATGTATGTATGTATACACATATGTACGCAATTAAAGTATGTGTGTGTGTAAATAAATATATATATATGTGTGTGTATATATATATGCATATGTTTATATACGTATATATATATATATATATATATATACATATACATACGTATGTATGTGTGTGTGTGTCTCTCCCCATGTACGTATGTATGTGTGTGTATATACATACATATATATATATATATATATATATATATACATATGCACATATGTGTGTATGTATGTGTAGATAGCATAATACACAAACACACACAGATACAAAACCGACATATAGTTATATGGGTGGATGCACCTGTGTGCACATGTGTGTATATATATATATATGTGTGTGTGTGTGTGTGTATGTCGACACATGTACATGTAAGTATTAAAAATTTTTGTATAAAAATATGTATGCATGTAGTTACTAGCATGTAGTTACTTGTGTGTAGTAGATGTGTGTACCCGTCGTAGAGTGTATGCCTTGGCACGGTGTGTGTGTGCATGTTGTCATGTGTTCTGTCTTTCTCTAGTACGAGTAGTACGAAGCAGTAGTACTGATGTAGTAGCAGCAGTAGTAGCAGTAACCGTAGTAGTAGTCGTCGTCGTAATAGTTAGTAGTAGCACTAGTAATTCTACCAGCAAGAGTAGCAGTCGTACAGTGATAGTAATGGTGATGGTGACAGCAATAGTTTTTTTTTCGGCGGCAGTGGCAGCACGTACAATCAGAGAAATGATGAATGCTTTTCTTCACGCCAGGCCGTATCCCCACGTGCAGATTCAACCCGAAGCCGGTCTGGGGCCTCACAGTGGAAGGGCCATTGAGGGAACTTCCTTGGGCATTGGCAGGGGCTTACCAGCTTAGCAAGGCCGCAGTGCTACGATTTGTTACTTACATTCCTAGGACTCTAGGAGCAAGACCTAAGCCCGTCGGAGACCCACAGGCGAGTCTTGCGCAAGATGGAGGACTAGAACACATGTTTCAGGTTTCTCCTAGACGAGTTTGGGCCACGCGTACGCAGATCAGATCATGAGAACTATAGTCTATAGTTTTGCCTTGTAAGGTTGCACAACTCCCCCTCTATTGTGACAGCGGCATCGCATAGGTTTTAATGGGCTCTCTATTGTAAGCGGCATCAAATAGTTGTAGATGTGGGGATTTCAAGATAAATGCAAGCATACGCATGCTTCGTGCGAGTGTGCGAGTCGAGCGTAAATGTGTACACCGGTATGCACATGTATATGTATCTACGCGGTGTCTGCTGTACCTGTGTTGCCATATATGTGTATGCAAAAATAGACAGCCCAGTCTATCTGTTTGCATATGCAAGCTTTAGTTTCGCGTGGTCGTTTGTCTACTTGCGCAACATTAACTCCAAATAGCACATCATGTGTAGTGGAAAGAGGTGCCCAGTATGTTGTTTTGACGCACTGGAGTCAACAGAGCGTTGTGTGTTTATGTAGATTGTTTAATTCAGGTGTGCATGTGCTTATATTTGCCGTTCTGTTTATCTACCGTGATTATGGACCGTCGCCTTGCAATGCGTTGCTGGCTTTGCCGAGGGCCTGGTCTTCGGTGTCTTCGCAGAACTTGAAAAGTCTGGACACCTGAGCCCACGAGCGAATACATGAACACAACAGCTTGTTGGCTGGTCTTGCCGAGAATTTGTAGCTTGGCGCTACAGCTTGCAAAGTCCGACTTGATTTCCTGATCCGGGACAGTCAGGTCTTGGGATGCACTGCCCATGTATGGCTCTTTGTTGCCCGCTTGTTCTCAAGCAACGGTTGTGGGCAGGTAGCCCTGATAGGGATGCCGCCACCTCGCCTCAAGGGCGCCAAGTTTCACAGTTCTCGCTGAGCCTCAAAGCGGGCCCGAACCGTCCAAAGTTTTCGAGGCAGCGCATTTGCGAACAGCGCATCTCCGTTCGCATCTCGAGTTCAGGTGTTTGCGCTTGTTCTACTTGAGACGAAGCCTCAAATGCCAGCCAGGGAAGTCGAGGTTGAACGCCAAGCAAGCCGCGGGCCAAGGGAAGCTTCGGGAGGGCGCGTGCTGCAGGAAGCTCGATGCAGAGCCGGGACTACAGAAGGTACCATTCAATGTCCCTGAACCCATGGGGTAGACCGGCTCCAGGCATTGCAGCTGCATTGGCACCGGCCCGATCCTAAGGTTCCGAGGCGTTCACCTCGCACATGCATGGGTGCATGGATGCATGCAGCCATAGGCAGCCCGAATCCTGCGCAACAGGGTGTCGTCCATGCAAACACTTAGTTGCCTTTGGCCATATACATCCCTTGCTAGAGTTGGGGCTTGAAGAATCTTGGGTGTTTGCGTCCTGCTCAGCTTCTTTTCCCTCAATCTGGTTTTTTTGCTGTGAGGCCGGGGGAGTGCCCGAATTGGAGGCATCAGGGCCGCCTGCAGTGGCCACGTCTTCGTGCTACGAGTTCTTCTGGTGGAATGTGGTCTGACCTCCTGTGTCCCGTATGTATGGCTACAGAGAAGGGAGGGTGGGAGAGAGGGAAAGTGGTACCATCTTCCATTCGCGCTTGGGTAGAGGCTGTTTTGTTCGACTGCCGTGGTGAGTTCTAGCCTCGAAGGAGTCAAGCACAGGACCCGACCAGCCTACAGGAGCCACGAAAGCATTCGGCAGCCTCTTGATGCTTGCCAGGGCTCCTTGCAGCAAATGAACATGGAGCTGGTTAGGGCCATGGCCTCAGAGCATCAAGGCATCGGTCCACAATGTTAGTTGCACTGGATGGTGGGTTCCTGTTTAGGTTTGGTTTGTCAAACACTGCAGGCTTCGGAGTGCTTTGAGCATGCCTTTACCAAGAACTTGATGACTGGGGAAACGAGTCAAGATTCATGGCGTGCGAACACACTGGTCTTTACAAGCGCCGGCTGCAATTCGAGAACTCTTTGCCGATTCGGTTTTCCATTGTTGCTCCGATCGCTACTGGTGGGCGTATATCAGTCAGCGTGCCACCACCGCATTACAGTTGGACATGAGCGGCACAAAGCCATGACAGCAGTTTCTGATGAGCTCCTGCCAAGTCTTTGCAGCGTTGATATTGGCAAGTCACGTTGCAAAGCATCGTGCCAGCGGCCAACTCAAGCGGTTAACCCGCAGGCGCAGGAGTCGGCTCGGAAGTCTCGACGACAGGAAGAGGCGGGATCCAGATTCAGTTGGTGTGCCATCTCGTGCTCCTTCATCGAACTCGAACAGAGGAGTTTCTTCCACGGCTCTGTCTCTTGCCTCGGTATGATACAGGTACGTATAAGACGTGTTCATGTATGAAATCATGCTAAGAACCGCAGCATGTATAATGCCAAAAGGGATGTACATTACACACACGTGCGGACATGCAAGCATACGTACATGCCTACATGCATTCAGACACACATACATACACACATACCTGCATGCATACTTGAAGACATGTGTATACATGTGTATGCATTTGTATATGTGCGTATATATATATATATATACACACACACGCACACGGTTGTTCATAGGTGCGTGCGCATGCCTGCATGTATTGTATGTTCTGCATCGACTTATTCCTACACCTATTTGTGGTTGTACACACATCAAGACGCATGATACTTGTATGCATATATGTATCATGCCCATGTGTGCAAGCGTATCTATGTATGTCTTCTCAGATGTTTTCCTGCAGTACCGAATGCCCCAGCTTTGGAGGACCTCCGGAATGACCTGACGAAGCTGAAGGTCGAACCCCCAGCAGAGCCACACATTAGGTACAGACTGCAGGGCGCGGGTGCTAGAGGACAGGGTAGCGCAGCCTGCCACACATGAAGAGACTGTGGTAGTTCTATAGAATCGCGAAGGACCTCAGGGATCG